AAGGTGACCGTCCCAAAATCCAGGTGTCAGCAGGGCTGGTTCCGTGTGGAGGGTCGTCAGAAGCACGCCGGGCACCCTCCGGCCTCTGGAGTGGCCGGCACTCCTGGACACCAGGGCTTGTGTTCCCACCACTCCCTGCGTTCGCCTCACCTGACCTCCGGCTAGAACACCCGTCACGGACTCGGGGCCTGCCCTACCCCAGGGCGGCCTCCCCTTCCCTCTGTCTGCAGAAGCCCCTCTTCCACGTCCCAGGGCTCCCGAGGACTTGGGTTTGGGGGACACTGCCAGAGCCCGCACTCGGAGTGGGTCCCCTTGCCCTGTTGCTCACTCTCCCCAGAGGACAGCCCCTATGATTTCCACTCCCGCTGGCTCAGGCATGACCCAGTCAGCGCACAGCGGCCTGGGTCAGGTGGTGGGCTCTCGAGCTGTGGACCCTCTGTGCTTTGTCCCCCATGACGCCCAGCAGAGCCCCTGGCACAAAGCTCAGATAGTGGCCCTGACTGGTGAGCTCGTGCACAGACGGCAGGCCCGCTCTGTCCCTCCGGCTCCTGGAGTGGCCAGAGCCTTCCACTCGGGGGCCAATAGCCATAGGGGCTGAGCTCTGTGGGTGCCCGGCAGGGGACTCTGGACCCCTCCACCCTGCAGAGCCAACACAGACCCCATCCCAGGCCCCCATCCTGCCTGCTGTGCTTTGTCCTCTGGCTGCTCTGGGGACGCCTCGCAGACTGGGGGGCTGGGGTCAGCCTCAGGGGTGTCCCCAGTGTCCAGCCCCTCCTACACCCAGCTCCTGCAGTCCTCCGGGATGGAACTGTTCACGCCGCACCCCCCCACCACCTCACTGCTGTCCTCAAACCAGGCCAGTACTCGGCCCAGCTGGAAACGAGCTGAAGGTGCTTGTGGCCCAGAGCTATGCCCATGGACGGTCACCCATGCCTGGGGGGGTGGCCTTGTCCCCACGTCAGGTTCTAGACGGCAGAGAGCGTGGCGAATATGACGCACGGGGCTCTGGCGGCCCTGCCTGTGGGGTGGCAGCAGGCAGAGGACCTGCCACGCTGATGCGGAGAAGAAAAGCAGAGTCTCGGGGAAGACCAGGTGTGGGGTAGGGAAGGCAGGTCCAGGAGGGGACCAGGTGTAGGAGGAGAGCAGGGTGGTGCGGGTGCGTTGGTTTCCCACCGAGGAGGAGGAAAGGCCTGGCCGGTGGGAAGGGGCAGAGTTCGGGGCAGACGGAGTGGCCTTCAGCGACCCGGGGGTGGGAACGTGCTGGAGAAGCAGCAAAGTTGGGGAGGGGGGGGGGGGGGGGGGAGGGGGCAGAGACGCTGCCCCTTCTGGAACTGGCAGGCCTCTGCTTCCGCCGGGAACGGAGCCAGGCAGGCATTAGTGGGGGAGCAGGGGAGCCGCTGGCTCTAACTGGACCAGCCAGGGGACCGGGCGGCCACTCAGCCTGTCATACTGCTCGCCTCTGGGCCTCAGTTTCTCCTCTTTGTCACGAGAGGTGACGGGAGGCCCCTCCAGCCGAGACATTTCCTGGCTCGCAGACGCGCTTTGAGGGCTGGGCCTAGTTACTCACGGGGAGACCTTTCAAGCCACGCCCTTGCGTTCAGGACCCGTTCCTGTTAGGGCTGCGGAGTGGCAGCTGCACGAACCTCGTTTCTGGTGTGTGTATTGAAGCCCAGGAAAGCCTTCAGCGCAAGGGGTAGTGTGACGACAGAGCCTCGCGCAGGGCTCGGCCTGGGACTCGGGGGGCCCCCGCAGGCCCATGGATGAGGATGGCCAGGCGTGGCCTGAGGTCACAACAGTATGGTGGTGGCCCCGGCGGGACCTCGGGTGTCGAGGTCCAGGGATCTGTCCTGCAGGGCGGCCCGGGGAGCGAGGTGGGCGTGGCTCCCACATCACCGGCTCCTGCAGGCGCTGGGTCCCCTAAGAGCACAGGCGAGGACCTCCTGAAAGTAACACCGAGCGCTCGCCGTGGGGTCAGCACAGAGCCCATCAGAGCCCAAGTCCCGGCCCCCGCAGGGCCGACGCAACAGGGCGCTGACAACACCTGGGGTGCACGTGGCCGCCGGCAGGGATGACAGTGGGACACGGACGCAGACAGGGGACGCCCACGTGCAGGAAGGACGCTGCTGAGATTCTCGGCACCAGAGACAAAGTCAGCCACAGGAGGGAGAAGATCTGATTAAACAAGAGAACGTGGGGTGAGACGGGAAAACCACCTCCAAAGCTGGCTGCCCGCCCGCCGCCCTATCTGAAAATCAGACTTGGTTCTGATTTTCCTCCTCCACGGGGAGGGCACAGCGGGGACGGAGCTGCAGCCCACGTTGAGCACAGATGGAACGAGGTTTCTGGGGCAGGACCGCTCGCCGAGTCCTGTGGCAACCCGGGGCTCGGATCCAGTGTGTCTGCCGCCTTCCCGTTAGCACCGGCGCGGTCCCCAGCACGACAGGGCAGCGTCCCTAGAGGAGGTGGAGCTGCGACATGAGACAAGGAGCCGCTTCGATGGTCAGGAAGGCCGGGGCGTCATCTTTCCACCTGGGGCGGAACACGGGGTCAGGCCTGCTGCGTTTCTGAACGGCGGCGGGCCTGCAGGCGAAGGGGAGTCCCGCGCGGGCCGCTGTCGGAGGCAGCCCCGCTCTCCATGCGCCGTCCACCCCACATCCAGAAAGAGTCTCCACCGTGTGGCTGTGTGGGCTCCCCTGGCTCCGTCTGCACTGTGTGAGCGACAGAGACCTGAGAGCGGGGAGTCCCATGGGGAATCCCTGCCGCCGCTGCCCCCTGCCCCAGGGCACTGTGTGTCCCCGGGGAGATCCTGTCACTCAGCAGTCCCAGCTGCGACATGAGGCAGGGCTGTGTGCTGGGCCAGCTTGCCTCGGACACACGTTCCTGCTGCTCGCACTGCCAGGGTCCTGGGACCGAGTCCAGCATCAGGCTCGCTGCTCAGTGGGGAGCCCGCTTCTCCCTCTGCTGCTCTGCTGCCACTCCCCCTGCTTGTGCTCCCTCTCTCTCAAATAAATAAAACCTTAAAAGGAAAAAAAAAAAAAAAACCAAACCAGCTCTGAGCACCTGCAAGGGAAACACTCTGCCCCTTCCTGCATCCCCTAGTGCCAGAGCAGATGAGAGGCTGTCGGCCGCCTCATGACAGAGTGGTTCACCTGATGCACGTGACAGGTGGCTGGAAGGAGGGAGGGGCCGAGGCAGGACGGATGGGGGGGGCGGGTGGATGCCGGTCGGGGGTGGAGGAGTGCGTGGGTCCGTAGAGGGATGGGCGAGTGGAGAGATGGTTGGGTGGGGGATGGAGGGACGGAGAGTGGATGGAGTAACGGCGGATGCGTGGATAGAGGGATCACAGATAGAGGAAGATGGGGAGAAGATTAAGATTAATTTTTTGAGAGAAAACTTTTGAAACGACGCAGCACCAGGCAGGACCTGTTTCTGTTATGTTTTTCACATCTCCTTGGTTGCAAGTTCTACCCATTTTCCCAAACGTCAGCTGTTTTAGACATTTGCTCAATCCCCCTCACAAACAGCGCAGGAGGGCCTACCGTGGACTGGACAGCGGGCCAGAGTCCCATCCACGGCCCACCACGGGTGGGGACCGCTCCACCGCCCTCCCCTCGCGTCCAGCACCGGGGGGCCTGCTGGGGGGCCCTGTCCCTGAGGGCGCTTCCCCACGACCCAGCCCCCAGCTGGTCGTCCCCTTGAAGGAGAGACCCAGGGACGGAGAAGCTGAAACGACAGCGGGGGAGGCAGTGGGGGAGGCTGGGGCAGGAGCAGAGCCCCGCAAGCCCCCGCACACCCGGCCCCGGTCGCGTGGGACCGTGGGCTTGACCGGTGAGCGGAGGAGAACGAGTCTAGGTGAGAAAGTGTGTGACACTCCTGAGCCCCGAGCCCCACCCCCACCCCGAGCCCCGCCAGACTGCCTGCCCGGCTCAGCCCGTGCACCCTGCCCCTCCAGGCAGTACATCCCTGCTCTTCTGGAGCCGGCCCTGCTTTCCCAAGCCCGGGCTCCCCGAAAAGTTCATGGCGTCCCTGCCAAGCCTGCCCTCGAGCTTCCTGGCTAACGCTGCCTGGCGTCGGGGCCCAGGACGACACGCGTCTTCTGTAAAGGGCCCACGGTCCATGTCCCCACTCTGCGGGCCGTGTGGTCTCTGTCACCGCCGCTCACCCACTGTGCAAAACAAGCGCAGGGTGTGGGTGAGCAGACGTGATGCTGGACCAGCACAACTTTACCGCCAGAACTGAGCGGCGGCAGGTAGATGTGGCCCGCGGCCTTAATGAGCTGACCCGACCCATCGTACACACGCGTCGGACCACGTGATTTCCCACAAAGTGACTCCCAACCATCCACAAATACCCAGAGGTCGTGTCGGGCCCGCGGGACCTCGGCAGGCGGTCTCACCGTTCTTCAGCCTCTGCGTTGTCACCGATGGTCACATAGGAGCACATTCTCTGAGCACCTGCTCTGTGCTGGGCATGGCCATCGGCTCTGGGGACACGGGGTGAGTGGGGCAGTGGTGGTCTCCAAGAGCTCAGTTTGGGGAGGGAAAGAAAGGACGATGAAGTGACAGCAGGGACCAGACAGTCAGAACTGGGGTGGGAGCCACAACCACAGAGACCAGTCGGAGGGCAGGTGACGGAGACCTGGCCCGTCTGTGGGAGCCTCCCTCTCTCCAAGTGTCCATCCCTGGTTTTCCAAGCCCCAGGCCGCACGGTGCTCTCTGGGGACCCCCATTCTCCTCCTTTCTGTCTTGGCACCAAACACCATCTGTATCTACCACAGCCGGGCCCTGAGGTGAAGGCGGCCAGGCTTCTCTGTGCGGCGCCGTTGCCCACAGCCAGCGAAGGAGCGCGTCCTTGCACCAGGGCAGTGGCTGAGAGCTGCCAGGGGCCCTGTGTGCCCATCCCGCCCGCAGGGGCCCAGCCTCGGGGAGCACGTGTGTTGAGGGAAAGGGGCAGCAGCCTGTAAACTGATGCGCTGTGCCCTCCCTTCCCGCCCCTTCCAGAAAGTCCAGCAGTATACCGTCATCGTCCAGGCCACGGACATGGAGGGGAACCTCAACTACGGCCTCTCGAACACAGCCACGGCCATCATCACGGTGACGGATGTGAACGACAACCCACCAGAATTCACCGCAAGCACGGTGAGTAGTCGCGTCCCTGGGTAGCCGGTGCCGTTGGGGCCGCCGCTTTCCTTGCCGCGTCTGCCGGCAGGAACTTGACTGACAGCGGCGCGCCCGTGGCCCTGGGCAGCAGGAGGCTGACACGGAGCACAGCCACCCCAGGAGTCCCCAGCAGGAGGGCGACCGGAGGAGCTGCCAAGGAGCTGGGCTCCTGGGGGGGCGGCGGGCATGTGCTGTGATGTGGCCCCGGGAGGCCTGACATGGAGCAACTGTTGACGCCCTGAGAAGTGCCCAGGACCGCGTGGGCTGGACACTCTGAATCCAGAGCCGACCAGGGGTGTTGGGGCTCAGCCACGTTTGGAGCACACATGCGGCTGTGTGCACCATGGGACCTGCTGGTGGATGCCCGGGTGGGGCCTCGGCCAGGCACGGGCCGGTCCCTGCAGGAGGAGCTGGGCTGCGCTCCACAGCCCACCGCGTGCACAGGTGGAGAGGGCAGGGACTGGCTGGTGGGCCGCCGCTGAGCCCCACACCCGGTGGCTCTGGAACCTAAGTGACCCAGGGCCCTTGGTGGACATTCAGGCTTGTGCATTTGGAGTCACAGGGACGCTGGGAGGTTATGGCAGCCCCGAGGGTCTCGGGATCACCTCTCGGAGCCACCGCTGGAGGGCCGAGGGGATGAGGGTGTGACAGCAGGACAGTAATAGGCACAGCACAAGCCACGCCGGGGAGCCCTCCCCTGCCGAGCTCTAGCCCCCCAACCTGGGGAGAGTCGGGGGGATGCCAAGACTCAGAGAGGCCAAGTCACTGGCCCAAAGCCACCCACTAGCCTCTCAGTGGGAGCAGCTGGGATTAGACCCCAGAAGCCGTGCTGACTCTGCAGCAAGGAGCAGGGAAGGAGGGAAGCGGTGGGGACAGAGGAGACCCCGCCTGCTCCACGGAGCTCCCCAGAGCCGCTCACTGCCAGGAGGGCATCTTGGGAACCAGCCCCCCCCCCCGGTGTCCGAGCATCCCCTCATCACCCTGCGCCCTGGGTTCTCCTGCCCCCAACTCAGAGTCCCCAGACCCCATCCCCCACACCCGCACCCGCGCTCCCCACCTCCCGCACCCCAGACCTGGCGCGACCTCACCTGCGGGTGCACAGCGCCATCTAGTGGACAGATGGCAGATCGCATGCAGGGGGAGCGGTGCAGCCCCAGCCCACCTGGCTGGGGGGACGCGGCTTCTGCCTCCATCAGTCCTGGGCCAGTGGGCAATGGCAGGAAAGGCTCAGGGCCAGTGTCCTGGGCGTTTTGTACATGGTCGAAGCATCTCCCTAGGGACCTGGGAGAGTAATGATGCCTAGGCTCCAAGCCCCCAGCAGGGCCTCACCCATGCCTGGCCGTGCAGACCCCCTGTCCTTCCGTCCACCCTGCGCCTCGTTCTGTGATGATGAGAACACATGGCTGTCCTTAGGACACACGACACCTGTGCTGGTGCGTGGGGGCAGCAGTGCAGGTGGGCACCCATGCAGGAGACCTCCCCCAGGTAACGTTGCAGTGGGGACTGGAGCCCATCCTGAGCCGGGCTCTGGCATCGGCCCTGGCAGGTGGGGCAGGGGTGGACACCTCAGATGCTCACCATCTACTGAGTCAGGGGTCTCCAAGGGCGCACAGCTGTTGCCCAGGTGAGAGGACACTGTTCCCAAGGACACGCTCTTGTCCGGGTACTAGCCTGCAAATTCCAGATGTCCGGAGAGCAGTGGCACCAGCCCTCTTGACCACCAGGACCCCCAGTCCCCCTGGGAAACAGCTTCAGGACCTCCACTGTCACCATGGAAACCAGCGCAGAAGGAAACCAAGCCAGTTGTCCCTGGTGGGAGTGAAGGATGTGCCTTCAGGCATGAGGCAACGTGGTGACCCGCCGAGGTAAAGGACTCTGTCCAGCCCTGCTGGTCACCTCTGGCCACCACTGGATTTGGAGAAAAGCACACCAGTGGAGCGCTGAAGAATGCATTGCCAGGAGTTGGGATTTGGCTAAAACCCGCAGGGACTGGAACAGGATGCTCACAGCCCCCGCCTGCCTCCCGATCCCGGTCCAAGCTTGCACCTAGGCTTTCCGGAGAAGGTGTCACCCACCGGGGAGGGCAGGCGATCACACAGACGCCAGCAGCTACAGTGACGGGCCAGAAACCAGTGGGCTCCGGCGAGAGGCAGACCGGAGCCCTTGCCCACCCTACTGCCCCCACACAGGTTGACTCCTTCTTTTCCCCCCAAGATGGTTGGCTGGCGTCTAATTTACCAGGACCCGGAGTAGGCACACCCCATCCGCTCTAAGACACAAGCTCCCAGAGAGACCCTGTGGGTCCCCTGCTTCGTCAGAAGGGGTCTTGCTCATTGTGTGACGGGAATGTGGTATGACGCACACATCTTCCGGGAAACATTCCCACCAGGAGCCAGGAGCAACCTCTTGCCAGTCCCCAGAGCAGCCCCCCTGACAGCGTCCATTGCCAAGGCGACCTTCGCCAACAGTCCAATCTCACCCCGTCACACGGATGGCGTCACGCAGAGCACGTGATTCTGTGCAGTCCAGCTTCTTCCGCCCAACAGAGCGTCTCTGGAGCCCACCCATGTGAGTCTGCTGAGCGCAGACCTCTGGGCCGTCCGTGAGCAAACCCACGGCACCACCGACTTCACTTACTCATTTTCTCCTTTTTAAAGATCACTGGGAGTCCTCGGTTAGATGACTCACACACCAGTGCAGAATTCAAAAGGTATGAAGTGACCGACTGTGGCGAAGGCGTCCCCTCCCACCCCGTCCCGCCTCCACCGGGCGCTCCCACCCAACACGTGCTGTCGTCTGGGAGATTCCCACATCCACAGCGCCTGCTGGGGAATAATGCAGGCTCCCGGGAGAGCGGCTGAGGCAGGAGTGAGAAGGACAGCCCCACGCTGGCACGGGGGGCGGTGTCCTGGGCACCCGTGCCCGCCCCCTCTGCCGCTGTGACCGCAGAATGCCGCACGACTGTGACGGAGAGTCAAGTGTGTCGTGGCCCTCACGTCCAGAAGCTTCTGTGTATTTCCTGAGAGGTTTCCCCTGGCGTGGCCGTGGAGGCTGTCAGAGCAACAGCCACCAGAGACAACTGAGGCCCAGAAGGCTAGTTCCAGGTGGCCCGAGGCCACACGGAGAGACAGTCAAACCCAGGGCACCTGCTTCCTCGGGGCACCCCCTCTGTGCCATATGGCTCTCCTCCCAGACCCCGAGCGAATCTCCCATCCCCTTCTGGGGTGGAGCGTCTTCTGCAGCTCCCGCGAGGGCCCCGGGCTGCCCCACACCTGCTCCTGGAGGGCGGGCCTTCCGCCCACTGTCCCAGCCCTGGTCCAGCTGTGACCGCCGGTCCTCTGAGACTGGACACCGTCTTCCCTTCCGCTCGCGGCTGCGGCGAAAACACCTGCGGGCCCCCCGGAAACACGCTTCCTGGGACCGCCCGCCACGGAGCGAAGCAGGGAGGGCAGCGCGACCGTGGGCTCCTGCCTCCCTCCGCCGGGTGTCCCCACGAGGGCAGGAACAGAGTGCGTCTCCTGATGCGCACATGCCTCTGCGGACGGGACACTGTCTGCGGGGCACTGGCGGGGCAGGTGGGGAGGCCGAGGCTGGCCACGGCCTACACGCGGCCGGGCTGTTGTTATCAGTCTTCACCAAGAACGATCAGCAGAAGCTGCAGAGAAGGGGATTCGCACGGTCCAGTTCCCGTTCTTAGATGTTGATTCAAAGTTATTTCCCTTTGCCTGCAGCCTGCCGCGGGGCCTCCGGGCCTTTCAGCCGGCCCACTCCACACTCTCTCGGGGGTGAGCGCCGGGCTCTGCCAGGCTAGGGGCTCAGGCCCCAGGACACAACCTGCACTCTGCCCCAGGAGCCTCCTGTTGGCCTTGTCTGGGGCCCTGGGGGAGAATCCTGGACACCCAGTGTCCCGGGCCCCTTCCACCAGCCCAACCCTTCACACGCCCTCAGGAGGGTCTCCTGGAGTCTGGAAGCCACTCATTAGCCCCGCCTTGGCCCCTCCTAGCTGTGTGACCATGGGCTGATAGCTGGACCTCTCTGAATGTTTGTCCCCACTCCACCCTGAAGTGACATACAGTCCCGAGGTGAGGTCAGGAGCATCCGCTGATGTCTGTGAAGAGTTTATGCCTTGAACAACGCTGTCCTCTGCTCTTGTAAGTGCCACGGACAGCAGCCAGCCCTCCACCACCGGGACCTGAGCAGAATGGTTAGACCCCGGGCTAGCCTTGGAACCTTCCCAGGGACTGGCTACCCTGGCTCCTACCCTGGCTGCCTGGGCTCCTGCTGCCCCAAAGCAGGCCCTCTGTGGCCCTAACCCTGGGAATCCCCAGTACCCTTAGCTTTTCAACTCGTCCACAAACCGAGGAGAGGAGAGAAATTCCAGCTCAGCCTGAGTTCCTGAGAGTAAGAATCTGGCATCTCAAAGTTGGAATGCACTCATGGCCCTTAATTGTGCTCAGGCACTCGGTGTGAACCTCTGCTGTAGATAACCGATTGGGACAGCTTCTCCAAGCACCGGGGAGGCCGGAGGCCAGAGCGCCCGGCCCCACCTGACATCACATCCCACTTCGAGCCCTTCCTGCCAGGCCGGTGTCCACTTCCCAAAGATGACACTTTCCTCGACCCCCTGGATCCCCAGACTCTGTGTCTCTGCGTCATCACCTGAGAGACGGGGGAGCACCAGCGCCTGCCTGGGGGGTGCGCACCCACACGTGGGTCAGGAGCACGTGGCTGGAGCACGAGACTTGATCAAGACAGCGAGAGTGCCTGGCTCTCGGCTCCTAGCGTGGTTCCTCCCTGGGCAGGAGCAAGTGGCTCGAACCTGTGGCCTGGTCTGTGGTCAGCAGACGCCTTCTGTGAACTCTCCCTGGGGAGCAGAGGGTCCGAGATACCGTGTTAACCAATTGCTGGGTCCTTTCCCACGAGCTGTCCTCGGAAGGAGCACTTTCCCGTGTGTCATCTACCCCGACACGTGCCAGCTC